TAAGCCAAAGAAAGAACTACAATGGAGACTATAGGTAGTGTTGGAGCTGAAAATGAGAAGCCCAAAACCATCCTAGACCCTAAACGTTAAACCGCAAACCTTAACCGTTAACCCTACACCCTAAACCCTAAACCCTAAACGCTAAACCCTGAATAGTGTTGGAGCTGAAGATGAAAGGCCCAAAACCATCCTAGACCCAACCCGTCTGGTGGCTCCATTTCTTGAACGAAAGCCCAGTAGGTCTCCATGGCAGTGCCTTTCCTTTCTTAACCAGCCTTTGCTTTTAGGGTTTAGGGTTTAGGGTTTAGGGTTTAGGGTTTAGGGTTTAGGGTTTAGGGTAGGATTCAAGGTTCAGGGTTCAGGGTCAGAATCGTGTAAAAGAAAAATGGTGGGCCAAAGCAGGGAACTACAATGGAGACTATAGATAGTAAACCGTTGATGTTCTTTGGATTCGCTCTACAATCGCTGTGGGGTGTGAGGGTAAGCTACCCTTTTTGCGTTAGAAAATCAAGGACACCTTTCCAGGGGTTAGTACAAATACGGGATCTTGCCAAGTTAGGTCTCTGTCCGGGATCCTGTTTTGTTCCTGAGAATTTCCGGTTTTTTCCGGGTGGTAGAAGGAGCTATACATATACAAAGTGCCATCATGGCTGGATCCCTAAACCCTAAACCCCACGGATCCAGTTTTCAGGGACACGAGTCATGGTTGTTGCGGCCACTGTGCCTCGTCGAAGATGTTCGCCGGTGTGCCTGGCAAGGGTGGTCGCGAGCACAGTGAGCCCGGCTTTATCGCCATGTTGGGTTATTCTGCAGTTCTTTGTGGGCCGGAATTCGGTTCTGGGCCTCGATGAAAAGGAAGCGTGTAAACACCACAAAAGCTCTAAGCCTTAAAGCCTCCAAAAACATGCGAGTGAAGTCCCCAAGCCCAACAACGGAGACACGAGGCAAAACAGGCAGGCAGGGCAATGCCGCTCCAGCCGCCCGAAGGATGCGCCTGACAGCTGATAGACAAGTTCCAGCCGTAACGTAGGAGCCTGAATAGCGAGAATAGGGTTTGGGGGCCGCCGATAGTAAGTATCTCATCTGATATCATATCCAATTATTCCGCCCCTCTGTTACCTCTCCTAGTTCTGGTCCCTAAACCCTAAACCCTAAACCAAAACCCTGAACCCTAAACCCTAAACCCTAATTGAGGACCCGGACTCAGAGCTCTGGTGATATATTTTTCCTACCATGGGAAAGGGTTGTCGGTCAGCCGAATGATCAGTAAGGGTTTAGGGTTTAGGGTAGCTCATGTTGTGGTTGCTTGATAGACAGTGACACTTTTTTGACTGTACTTTGCAGTCCAGCTTTCAAGCCCAAATGCCAAACTCAATCTGTTTTGCCTTCTTTGGGGTGTACACCGCCTCAGTTTGTCTTGCGCTCCCAGGGTTGCCTAGTCTGTGAAACGGCAATAGAGGTCAGGTAAGCAGTCGTTGATACTGGCTTAATGTTTATAATCAGGGTTTAGGTGTTTAGGGTTTAGGGTCGTTTTAGGGTTAGGGTTTAGGGTTTAGGGACTAGAGTTTAGGGTTTAGAGTTTAGGGTTTAGTGTGTAGATCATTGGCTCCTGAAGAGGTGGCAGGTGTTGCTTCTGCGCGCCCCCCACGCAAGTCCACTGCAGTGCCTTTGCCATGACTTCGACTAAACCCTAAACCCTAAACCCTCAACCCTGAACCCTAAACCCTAAACCATTCCAATCGTGAAGGCCGACTCTAGACTCGAGACCTCACCCAAAACTGCAATTAGAATCCTAAACTCTGGACTATAGTTTCCATTGTAGTTCCTGTTTTTGGTTTAACCAATTCTATATTACAGATTCTATAAGGTAACGCCAGAAAGGAACTACAATGGAGCCTATAGGTAGACTATAAACCATCCTAAGCGTCTACAACCCAAACCTCTTCGAGTGAGGCCTGAACAAGGAGACGAGGGTCATATATAGGTGTATATATATATATATATATATATGGGTGGTTGTCAAAATTATGGTCCCTCTTTGGGTCCATATTATAATACGGCACCTATTATTTAGGGTACCCCAAAAGGGACCATAATTTTGACAACTACCCATATATACACACATGCTGTTCGTTATTCGTTATGATATGTTAATATGCTGCAATTTTCAAAACAACCCGAAACGATACCAGCTGAAGCGTTCAGGGCTCCTTTCTAGGTCCTAGGCCCACGCTTCATCCTGAAAACCCTAAACCCTAAACCCTAAACCCTACAAAATGCCACCTTGACGGAAGTAAGCAGACTTGTTTGAGTTTAGGGCAAGTTTAGGGTTTCGGGCTTCAAAACAATGTGTCAATGTGTAAGCATGCATATACCTGTGCATGCATCGATGCAGGCTATCTTCCGAACCAATCCCCATAAACCCTAAACCCTAAACCCTATTCCCAAAACTCAAACCAGCAAGCCAAGCGTAAATCCGAGTCAGTAGAGAATCAAGAGTAGATAGATAGACGAGGCTCTGATTTTGCTGTGGGTCCTTTAGGGTTTGGGGTTCAAGAACTAACTAGACGTGATACAGGGGCCTTCGAACAATTGGAGTACAGTTTATACTGTAATTGCAAGATGTAGTCCCCAAAACAGTATAGGTAGTTGGTTTAGGGTTTAGGGTTTAGGGTTTAGGGGTTTAGGGTTTAGGGTTTCAACGGAACCTAAGGAATAACACCAATAAACAACTCGGGATGTTATCTGGGAGTTGATAATAATCAATCAAAATTCTCGTCAATAACCGTAAATAGTAAGATTCAGCAGGACCCTTAAACCCTAAACCCTAAACCCTAAAACCCCTTAAAGCGTAAACCCATACATCAAGCCAGCCCAGCAAGACCTCCTCTGACCGGCTCAGAGAAGGTGCCAAAAGGAGCCTCCTGCAGACTTCTTGCTTTAAGGAGTTTAGGGTTTAGGGTTTAGGGTTTAGGGGTTAGGGTTTAGGGTTTAGGGGTTTAGGGTTTAGGGTTTAGGGTTAGGGGTCGATGGGCTCTAGGGCCGTGGAGTATCCCTATGTTTTCCCAGTAGCCCCCATTTTCAAGCCTCGCAGCTTGAAAGGCAGAAATCCTAAACCCACACCTAAACCAAAAAGCCGACACACAAAGTCTCAGTCAGGGTCTGTGGCCTGAGGGCCAAAGGCTTGAGGCTTCTATGAGGATTTTGATTTTGAAAGGCTACCTGTAAACTTTGTGCGGCTTTTTGAAAAGGCTTGAAAGAGAAACGGAGCGTAGGCTTTACTGCCACGGAGCCGGGGGTCGGTGTCGGGGTTAAGGGCTTCAGACTTGACGGTTGATGTGGGCTAAGGGCTTAGTACCGGGGCCTTCATGATTAGAAGAGGGTTTTGGTGTCTTGTAGAGCCCAGTTATGATAAGGAACCCCCCAAAAAATAATATAGCTCCTCATTGAGGCCCCTATATTAGGGCTTGAGATTGAAACGTTCGGGTTCAGCTTCTGGTTTGGGATTCAATCTCTGGCTTCGGGAGGCGGTGTTGCATGTTTACAGTTCAACGGTTAGGGTTTAGGGTTTAGGGGTTTGGGTTTAGGGTTTAGGGTTTAGGGTTTAGGGGTTTAGGGGTTTAGGGTTTAGGGTTCAGGGTTCAGGGTTTAGGGTTCAGGGCACAAGGGGTTCCCAACGGCTCCAGAATCTCCGGATTAAGAAAAACTTCCTTATGTTCCGCAATATAAGTGCTTTTGTGCTTCTACATGGGCTGTACAGGGTAAACCCTTATTTAAGCAAGCCCCTATACCGGTCCATATACCCTAACAGCCCGCACTTCGGTCTTAAAGTTGTCATAAAACAACCCCTGTAAGGCCTGAGTATGCTCTACAGGCTTCAACGTGTAGTCCCTAATAGCAAAGAGGGGTGACATATTTGTTGATGTTCTACTTTAGGGTTTAGGGGGTCAGTTAGGGTTTACGGCCTAGGCATTGGGGTTTAGGATTTTGGGCCTAGGTGAACACTTACACTGATTGAAAGCCCTATCAAATTAGACCCTTATAAACCACTTCGTTTTGCGTAAAGCCCAGTACTCCTAAAGCCTAAACCCCCCAAACCGAAAAGCCTAAACCCTAAACCCTAAAAACCCGCGAGCCCTGGTTTAGCAGGGTCTGACAGGAACTCCGCACATAAACCCCCATGTAGGAACCTGATTAGGAAACCCCGGCCCGACAACCCCCCCAAAATAGTAGGATTCACATAAAGAGCCCCCTAAACCCTAAACCCTAAACCCTAAAAACCCTAAACCCTAAACCCTAAACCCTAAAAGACCCATGAGGCTTTCTTAATCAGCTTCCTACCTATAGGCTCCATTGGAGTTCCTTTTTTGGGGGTTACCTTATAGAATCCTTAACATAGAAGTGGTTAAACCAGAAAAAGGAACTACAATGGAGACTATAGGTACACCCCTGATCTGCCCCACATTACCCAGAGACTCCAATAGCCCTTAAGTAAGGAATATACCTTAAATCATGCTAATAATCCTACTATAATTTAAGGTATATTCCTTGGAACCTACATGACAGAAAAAAAAATAAACAACAGGGGCCCCCGGACGCAGCCTCGTCGTTTCGCTCCCGTCCCTGCCAGGGAGGCTGGAGGCAGGGCAAAGGGAGCCGATTTTTTTGGGGGGGTTCCTGTAAAGGTTCCTTAAAGGGTTCTATAAGGCCTACTATAAGGGTTAGGTGTTTAGGGGCCCCCAAATCCCTTGCGTAACATAGGGGCCTGGATAAATAGAATAGGGTTTTGGGGCCCATCATACTATAGTTACAATAAGGAACCCCCACAATGGTATTGCTATCTTGCTATCTTGCTTGCGGACGTCTGAGCTCATGAGGGAGCGCGTCCCAAAAATGCAGAGTGAAACAGTGAAACGGTGCAGGCTGCCTGATCACTCGGGTCCCCTGATTGGGATTGGCCTAAGCCAGAACGAGGTGGTGCTCTGGCGAGGCCCCTCGACGGAAGCACCTTCAATGTAGTCCAGAATCCATTGAAGAGTGGCCGGGGGAGGCCGGTAAAAGCCAAGTCGGGAGATCGGGGTCTCATCTTCGCTAAGTCCAAGGAAGATATCCGAGTAGACTGGCGCCTTGGGGCCGAACGCCTGGGCAACTGGCGTCGTAGAGACAAATGCTTGCCATTGGCCTCTGCGCAGGGCCTTCCTCCGAAGAGAGTCCTCCTGTTCGGCCAAGCGGATGGTAGGGAGGTCCATAGGCGGAAGCAGATGCACCAGCCGCAGTAAACAGGAGCGTGAAGTCTTGACATGATACAGACAACGCTCGACGGAGTGGAAAAGCTTGAGACAAGCCAGGCACTCGCGTGTCGGCGTGTAGTGCCTCGCAGGGCACAATGAGCCGTGCCTTCTCGCCTCGTGAACGGCCAAGTGCTTTCGGAGCCTGAAGGCCGCATTGCACCAGCGGCAGACAAAGGGCAGGGGATCCGGCACGTCCATCTGGGTTGCTGCTGGGGTAAGGCCCGGCTCCCATTTCTCCAGCCTGCAGGTGAAGCCCTTGACGGCCTTGCGCACCTGAGCTGGCCACCACGCGGGCTCATCTGAAGCCTTCTCAAGCAACGTCTCTACCGGGTCTGGCATGCTGAGAACTGTTGCCGCTGCTGGGGCGAAAGGCGCAACTGCGTGGAGATCCTCAACGAAAAGCCCTAGGCAAGACTTGGCCCCGGCTTCTCGCCAATGAACATGAAGCAGGTGCAAGAGCGTGTCGGGTCCATGTTTGAGGATGCGCTGGAGGAGGACAGCCCTCATTTGCGCAAGGGCCAGGAGTGGGCTGGCGGCATGGGCCCGTTGGAGGACCTCGTAGCTATGGGGCGCCCTGTCACGCTGGGCCCATCGACACAAGCCTCGCCACAGCAGCACATACATCTGGCACCATTGTCTCCGATAGGTGGTGGCTACCAAAAGAGACGAGGCTCCAGAAAAGACAAACTTTGAAATGACCAGGGCTCTGAGGAGCGTGCGTCTGATGGCCAGTGGGATCCCTGTGGCCGAAAACAGCCTCCCGTAGAGTGGACGTAACGTGGCCTGAGCCTGGGAAAACCTGAATTGGTTGTCGGCACCCGGGGTGGCATTGGAAGTCAAGATGCCCCCCAAATGTTTGTAGGAGGCGACAAGGGGCAGGAAGTGGCGGCACTGCAGGATTGCATTCTGGACATAGAAACCTGGACGGCCTGTATCATCCTTGACAAGCCGGGTCTCCGACCGGAGCTCACAATCCGACGCCAACATGACTGCCGTCTTGTCCGGGGCGAACGTAAGCTGCATTCCAGCTGCCGTGGCATGCTCCGAGAGGACTTCGGCGGCTTGGAGGACTCTGTCGCAGAGCTCGGAAGCCTGAGACGCCGCCTGTGCGTGGGTGTAGTCGTCTGCCCACGCTGCACATCCTAGTCACGGTCTCTCCTGTTGTCCACGGTGGCTGGGCTGTGGAACTGGGAACCGGGGTAGCTAGGCCACGTGCCGCCAGGGCCTGCTCGGCCCCTTTAAGGTACGCGGCAAAACTAAAGGAGAACAGGATGTCGGCCAGGGGGTCCCCTGGAAGGGACCCCCTGGCCGTGACCGCCAGAGACGCTGATCCATCTAATCGGAACCATGTCCCTCTCAGAAGATCTGTGATCTGTGCCTGCAAATGGGGCGAGGCTCCTGCCTCCGCAATGTACGCGGCTGCCTGGAGCTTTTGAGCAAGCTCTGGGAGCGCGTCTCCGGGAACCCCGAGGTCCTGTAGGAGACAGATGAGGCCGGCATCATCGGGCTCCGTCTGCACTAAAGCCTGCCTGACGACCTTGTAGAACGCCGCCTTGACATCGAAGAAGAGCAGACCGGACTTGAGGCCTTGGTGCTTGGCCCATGCTTGGTATGTGCGAACTGCCAGCGCAATGCTGTCTACACCGACTCCTGGAAGCTGCCCTGCCTGAAGATCCCCTTTGACATGGCCCAAATGCCGAGAGAGTCTATCTCTCCAGAGCCGGTGAAAGATTTTGGCTGGGAGGCTTGCAAGGAGTATGGACCGAAACGCCTCGCAGTCCAAAAGAGCCGTGGCGCGCTTGGCTAGGCACATCAGATGCCCGCCCCTCCATGGGGTCGGTTCACGGAGGGAGAGGGACACCTTAAACTTAAGGAACAACGGCAGGAAGCTCCGGGCTGCGACTGTCGGACAAACTCGCAACGTCTCAGCTGTAATGGAGTCCGGCCCTGCTGCCTTGCGGGGGGGTAGGCGAACGATTTGCTGCTCGACTTCCATAAGCGAGGGCAACGTCATAATGTCGAAGTGTGGACCTCCAAGCGCCGGTTGGAAGGGTGACGCTCTGAGATCGGTCTCATAGTCAGCAAGAGCGGTGACTTTCCCTGCCTCCTGATCCCCAAAGTGGGTGGTCCACCTGTCTGCCCTTTCCGTGGGGTCCTTGGCCAAGGTTCCATCGAGAAGACGGACGGCTGGAAGGGCCTGGAAGCTAGCCCTCCAAGATGCCTTCGCTTTCGGAAACGCCCTTCGCACAACTGCGTAAAGCCGCAAAGGGTCCTTTAAGTTAGTGACGGCGATCTGGTCTGCAAGGCCTTGAAGGAAAGCGATGCGATCCCTCTTAACAGCAGAGCGCACAGCGCTGGTTAGCCAGTGTTGGGCATCGACAGCAGCAGCTATGCTGACGTCCATCTCATAAAACCATCTGGAGGCCGCAATCCTAGCTTGCTCCGAAAAGCTTCGCGACCGAGCAGCCAGAACGAAGGCAGCAAAACCCAACATCTTGAGACGCCTGCTGAGCTCGGCTCTCTCGGCAGAGACGGACGGCAGCCCGCCGCTGAACTAGCCGGAGGGTATCGGGCTGGAGGTACGGCTGCCTCGGACGCTGTGGCTGCTTTGCACAAATGGCCTCTGCTGCTTTGACAAAAGGGAGGCTGACGGACTCACAATGAGAATCCACGCCAGCCCACCAGCGCACTTGAGATCCACTACAGCAGAGGGTGGCAAGGAAAGCGTCCCTTCGCGCCTTGTCCAGCGGTGTGTGCTGGAGAACAGGGCGCGGGGCCCGTCTTGTAGACGCTGTATAAGAGGTCGAGGCCTGCTGTCGGCCGAAAAGGACCTGCAGACAGACTGGTTGGTGGTCCTGTCTGGCTTGTAGGGCCTCAAATTCTTCCCACACCCACGTACTGATGGGCAAGTGCCTCCATGAGAACGGCACCGCAACGTAGTCAAGCCTATGACCTGACTCGGGGGCACTGGGACCGTGCCACGTGGGGCTGGGTCCGTGGTGGCAACTGGCGAAAGTGGACGGCAAGAAACAGTCCAAGTCTAGCAGGCACTCGTGAAACGCGGCTCCTGCAGCATTTTCCTGTTCTGGATCATGTCCGCCGACTGCCTCAGTCTCAATGGAGCCTAGGTGGGCGTTCGCATCTGCGAGAATTAAGACCTCCGAGCCTTCTGCACGGGCCCGGAGGTCTTGTGCTCTGGCTGCCCAGAAATCCCGTGCGGCAGCGCCTCCATCCTTGACACCCGAAGGCCCATGTGCAACCAATATTGTGAGGCGAAGACGCGGTGTGGAGATCTGGGCTTGCAGGTGCCTGGGCGATACGCTAGTCACAGTAACCTGACTTCTGGAGACACGGTGCTTGAGGCCCTTTTCTGAAGCAAAGGGCAGAGCAAGGTTCAACCAAAGCGCACATCCGTAATGCCCTTGCGGGCTTGCCTCAGTGCTGAGCATCAAGAAATCACCATCTGGGAGTGTTTCACTGGTGGGAAGGCGTGTTTCCTGGATGCCAGCTGCCCAGACACCTAGCTCGAGCAGCTGACGCTTGAGGAGGTCTCTCTTCCCCGAGATGAGGAGCCCCTGGTTCTTAGTGCGTGCCTCTCGACCGGGAGGAGCGGCCGGGTCGAAGAGAGAAAGAGCGTTGAAGGTGAGGGCCTTGAACGAATACTCAACTTCTGTGGCACGGTAATGGCTGGTACGCGGACCGGCTGTGGGGGCAAGCACCTCCTGTACTTGGTGCTGCAGCCTGCCAGCTTCCGCCTCCAAGGCCATAAGCGCGGGAAGACCTGTGCAGGACGCGTGTGCAAGCCAAGTCCACTGTCGCAGCTGGTGGCTTGCCCATGGCGCTGGCCACTCCGGCAACATTCTGGAATAGGGGCATTCGGGACGACGCCTGGCCTCTTTGGCGAGGCAGTCGCATAACTCGTTGGGCAAGATCCCCGCGAGTGACCTTTGACGTGGCGGTGCGACACGGGAACTCGGGCCACCAAGGCCTGTCGCAGTAGGATGGCTGTGGCACCTAAGCCTGAACCTGCTTCACCTAGACAGGGGCAGCGGCTCTCGCCAAAGGCGCCCCCCCCTTGCGGCCGTGGCATCATAGCAAAGCTCCAGCCAGACCTGAAAGCGCACGCCGTGCTCCAGCGCCCAGATCAAGGCCCATGCGATAGCTGCCAATTCCGCCTCTAGTGCGGTGTCCGCCTTCTCACCTACATGATACGGCGTTCCTGCTGGAACTAGGGTGTGTGCGGCACCACCCACAAAAAGGGAGCGGTCGGAGCAGATGGCCCAGACCGTGAAGGCCCAAGCCGCCGGAGCGACAGCTTCCTTTGGGTCTGCCCCACTGGGCGCAGCCATCAGTGTAGATCTCGATCTTGTCTGGCCGAGGGGGCCGAGGGGTCTGCGCAAACCATTTCGGTATATCCTGAAACAGACTTCGCCATCGGGCCGCAACTTGGGGACTTTGTGTGAGAAGGCTAAGATCTGCGTCTAGCCAGTCACTCCCTTCGTAGCAGTCTCCAGCTCGGGGGGGCGGAGGCACAAGATCAATAAGACTCTGGGCAAGCGCCTGGAAAGGGGTGAGTGGTATGCATTCACACAGGGATAGGATGCAGGGGGATGGGTGGTCCCGCGCTCCATCCTCCGTCCATGCGCCCTGTGCGGGCCGCTGGTCATGCTCAATGAGAACCTCGAGCAATGTAGCTGCAAGGAAAAAACCCTGAAAATTTGGCTCCTGTGTCGCCTGTTCAAGCAGAGTCGGGCCGTGACCGACATCCTTGGCGTCGCTGGCTTGCCAATGCGGGGCTCGGCACGGAGTTGGCAGTGGCCTGTGCTGGAGGTGACGAACTTGCTCGACACTGCTCTCGGGGAGGGCAGAGGTATCGACCTGTGGCCCTGGTGCAAGGGCATCAACACAAAGAACAGGTGGACACATGCTTTCTCGACCAGAGATCAGGGAGAAGTCCAGGGCGGGCAACTGTACTGCCGTGGCCGTCTGAATCACAAAGCAGCTGAGGGCTGCAAGCCGCGCAAGTCGCGGTATTCTGAATTTGGTGCCGACTTGAGCTCGTGATGCAGACAAACGAAGGAAGTGAGGCTGGCGTCGGCCGCCGAGTCGGAGAGTCACGGGGCCGTGACCTGGTGAATGCACATGGTGTTGCCCGTCGGCTGCGACAACATGGCTCTGGGCTGGCGCGGGACGCTCTTCACCCCTCGACTGCGCCGAGGCGGAGAGATCTGAGGGCTCTATGTCTTCGTCTGAATCCAGGTCAAGATCACTGGTCTCAGACATATCCCGGTCATGTCCGACTGGGTCCTCTGCGGCCTGTAGCTGATACCCGATAACAACAACCTGGCCCTCTGTGACATGCAGGAACCCATCGGTCTGAGGCGCCAACTGCGCATTACTCTGTACGACGGGCTCCCAGAAAAGCGGGGCAAGGACTCCAAGCTCCGCTACACAGTGGGCCGGTTGACTTGCGTGAGAAAGAAAGAGATAGGAGAGATACGAATGAGTTAAAACGGAGATAAGTTAAGTAGGTTTTAGTATTGAATATTTTGTTTTTAAAATTTTTTATTTATTTTTAAAAAATTTTTATTTATTTTTATCTTTTTTTATCTCTTTTTCGGTTGCGCCGATGATATGTCTCCATCCTGGTTTTTGTTGGTTTTTCAGTTAGGTTTAAAGGCCGCTATGCCTGGTTTTAGGGAGAAAGCAGAGTTGCAGCGACCTTCTTTTTTTCAACGCAGAGCTCGCACGAGGCCGGTCCCTTCGAGCAGCCACCAGGATGCCAGC